TGTCCCCTCCAATGCCCTCTCCATGCTCTACTCAGAGTGAACTTTCAAGAAATATAAACTGCTCATCATATAGCTCTTTCATTTCTGGAGACTTCGAAGGGATAAACATCCTGAAAAAACACCCACTAAAAAACTCCTACAAATGGATTAACAGACATGTTTCTTACATGCATAATGCACAGCTAAGCTCGCAAGTAAGAAAGCAAAATGGGAAGGAAGAAAGGAGGTAAAGCTACTGCCTAGAGACCCTTCTTCTTCCCCTAGTCCCCTTTGTCAGCGGGGGACTTAGTGCTCATCGAACAGTGGAAGGATGGGTCCCCCACATTGCAGCTAATCCTGGTGTGGAAAGGTCCTTATCCAGTCTTACTTCCTACTCCAAGTGCTATTAAGGTCCTAGAGAGACCCACTAGGATCCATCACTCTCAGGGGAAGCCGTCCAACCACCAAAATGAAACTCATCTGGCCGCCGCAGACAAAAACTCCAACACCAGGGACAAATATTTGTGTACACCCCTGGAAGATTTCCATACCTTTCAAGCAGACTCCTCCCGCTGTTGCTCCTTCTGACAGGTAGTACAACCTGCTTATCCACGGGCAAGACACCTGTTGTCCTGGCAGACCGAACCGCCACTGTTTGCCTTTATGGGAACAGCAGCCGCAGCTGGAGTGGCCAAGGAGGCGCGTCCCTGGGCCTGCAGCAGTCCTGGCTGCGGAGGCAGCAGGAGCCCTGGTGAAAACTAGCCACACTCGCCCTCTTACAGGAACAGTTCGATTCTTTGGTAGCGGTCCCCTTACAAAACAGACGGGCCTCGATCTTCTAACTGCAGCAGCAGGGGCACCTGCTTCTTGAAAGAACAGCACTGCTCTGTGTTAGCCAGTCAGGGTGGGTGCGGGACGTCAACGCCGTCCTGGAAGCCACCTCCAATCTATAGACACGATGCCAGACCTCTAGGCCCTGGCGGATGTCCTTAATAATTCCCTTGGTCACCCTATTACTCTGCATTCTGGGAATTCTTATATCAGGACCGATCCTCATAAATTTTCTAACTAAATTTATTGCATCCTGTCTAGAGGCCATCAAGCTACAAATGGTCCTAAGTTCTCCACCAGCCCTGGTGCCTCCCTCCTCTGCACACCTACAACTACAACAGCCTACTGAGAACATATACCGACGTCCCCTGGAGAGGCCCCAGAGAACCTACAAGAGGCCACCCTAATAGGAAATCGTCACCCCTTACTCAGCACGAAGCAGCCAGGTGAGTCGATGCCCCTTCCCAGTGATTTGGGCCTCTAGAATAGAGAGTGGGGAATGTTAGGTAGATAGTGAGGGACTCCGGGTCTCCCAGGGACGAAAGTGGGTGCTGTTGCCCCCATCTTGGTCCTGCCCAACCCTCATTCTCCATACCTGGGGGAGGAGGGAACACCCTACAAATCTGCCCATCGAAACTTGGCGCACCAGCTACAAAAGAATGCGAAGGACTTTGTAGCCCGCCTGCACAAGTACCATAAAATCCAGAAAGTGACCTAGAACTCACATGCATAGTTAAGGCTCAGGTCATGTGACTCCCAACTGTCCAATCAAAGTGGTTCCATGGTGACCTGTGAACCACAAGGGAGGTCCCTATCCAGGCGCCGTAGAATAAGATGCAGACCATAGCCAAGCTTTCTCTTTGCCCTTCCTTTTGCTTGCCCTGCTGTGACAATGGGTCTGGTCGTCATCCACGGCGTATGTACCATGCTCTGTAAACCTATGTCTCGCTCTTGCCCTATGATCCTATCTTTCTCTCCTCAATGAACCTCATTTTCGTGCTTGCCTAACTTTGGTGTGTCTGGTCATTCTTCCGCCATGGGCGCTCCAAGAACCAACATTTTCAGACTAAAACCTGACAAAAGGAGAAAAGGAAATGCAGAGAATTGAGAAGTAAGGGCACCAAAGCCATGGTTGCTCTATGGACGTGTGTTGGTCCCAGCAACTTAGGACCTTGGGTTTTTAACAGTGGCCTTGGAGGTGGGGAACAAAGGGACAAGGACCCGGGAAGGGTCCATACAAGAGGAAGGTCTAGGGTGTCCCAGCCTGTGGGGCGCATTGCCCGCCCCCCCAGAGCTCTTCTCTGGGCATGTGTAACCACACCTGCCCTCGTACAATACAAATGGAGGCCTCAGCTTACAGGCCACCTGTGTGGCCCCGGAACCTCACACGGAGAAACTAACACACACACTCTGTCTGGCAGACACGCCATCAGCCCAGGCCTTCGGGATCTCCATGAGCAAAGCCCAGTGAACAAAGACCTTACAACTGAAAATGGCCAAACACGCACAGAAACCTCCGTGAGTCAGCAACAAACAACACCTGAGGACTCGATCCTGGAATTTAGAAGCAGAATATAAAAATAAGTAGGAGTTAAGGAGCTTAATGAAACCAAAGAGGAGATCCAAGCATGGAAGAAGATGCTGTCATAAAAGGATCCCAGCAGATTTCAGAAAGTACCAAATAGACCATCTAAAGTAAAAACATTACCTTTGACATTAAAAACTCAATAAACCTATTAAAGAAATATTTCTGATTTGAGAGGGAAAAAATTTAAATAAATTACCAGGAATACATCATTGAAAGGGAAATCTACCCCTTTCTCACGCTCTTTTCAAAATCCCAGAGGTGACCAAGAGACACAGGGGACAGAAGGTGTAACATATACACTGTGGGGGTGGAACAGAGGGAATGGCCTGAAAAAATGGCGAAGAGATTTTTCTGTCTCCTTAAAACGTCCCCCGCTCTTTGGGACCTCCGTACCGGCACATCGCTGAGGCAGGTTAAGTCTTCTGTTAGGACCCCCAGGTGGAGCTGAGAACCCTCCCTTTAAAAGCTCTGTATTTCTGCCTCTGTCCAGGAAATTTGGGATTTTGAGACAAGAAGGTCTACCCTTTTTCCTCCTTTGCAAAGTAAACTCTCTTTCCTTCTTCCTCACAAGCTTGTCCTCGTTTTTCTGATTCGGCCTTGCGGACAAGTGGCTGAGCTTTCTGTAACAGGGGGGCAACATTTTACCTTCTACTTTTAGAGTTTTCAGCTGGGCTTAAGAATTGAACTGAATAAAACAAATAAATAGGAGAAAGACATACAAATTTATTTAATATAAGTTTTATGTGGCATGGGGCCCTCATGAGGAAATGAAGACCCAAAGAAGAGTCCAACACCTGTACGCTGAGTTGGCCAATGTAACTGTAGTTGGTAATTGTGCAAAAGGCACAGGGGATGGGGCGAGGTGGTTAGTTGGGTGGAGAAGTGAGTAGGAAGATTTGGTGTTGAGACTCAGAAAACAACCCCCCAAAATGAAGGCCTCAGAAGCAGAAGTTTTTCTCTGATCTTCTCCTGCCCTCCAGTCTCTCAGTCCTGGCCCCGGAAGCTAGCCATGGAAACCAGAACCCCATTTCCCCCAAAGCCAGCCATAAAACCCAAAAATATCACTCTAATTTTCCCTCTGCCCTTCCCTGTGGAAACTGGCCATAAAGAAATTATCTGACATGCTGTTTGAGTATAGGTCATGGGACCCCCATTCCGGAGAGGGTCCTGCAGCGGACGCAGAAGGAAGGAATTTATGCTCAGAAAGGCCAAGAAGAATCTAGACAGACAGGCCTTGGGTTTCCCCACTCAGTGTGTTAGCATCAGATCGATCCTTTTTGTTCGATCGCATTTCTACACAGCTGTCCATACTTTGCCGGACCCGAGCAAAATGAATAATTCCTCCTGTATCTTTGGGTCTTCATTCTGAAGATTCCCGTGTACACGTTAATAATAAATTTGTATGACTTTTCTGTTATTAATCTGCCTTTTTGTGAGTTGATTTTTCAGTGCGATTTTCCCTTTGCCCCTACATTGAGTTAGTTTAACAGGGGTGGTTTGTACAGAATTCTCTCGGCTTGGACCTCCCATCCTTGATGAGAATGTTATTTTTCTCCTGGTACACGGGGGACAGGACATCTTTCATATGGGGGTTTTATCTCCTACTTTCAGAAGGAAAATTGAGGGAGAGTCAGAGCGACTTTCTTGTCCCTGCTATTTTTTTAAGTGCCTTTAGTTCAAAATAATCCTTATCCCGAAGTGGTATATTTGGGGTAGCATGTTTTTTCTTTCTTTCTTTCTCCGTGGCAGTGATGGCGGTGTGATTGAGTGGCATGCTCTGACCTCCTTCTATATACTTGGAGGTCAGGAGAAAAGACGAAAAAGAGCAATTCTTAGATAACTGAGCACTTTCCAAAATTGAATAAAAGACATGCATTTGAAATTTGCGGAGTACGACAAATCCTAAGCAGGCTGAATAAAAAGAAATCTGCATTTAGACACAGTGCAGTCAAACCACATGGCACCAAGGACAAACATCTGCAAAGCAACCAGAGATTTAGACTAATTAAATCACTTTCCTGCCGAAAAGCCCTTGATGGCTTCGCTTTGGTTAAAATTAGGGTCGTCCCCAAATTTACATTAAAAGATCATGGTCTATTTTCAAGAAAACGAGAATGGAGCAAGACTAATGAGCAGAAATTTCTAGTCTCAATGGCAGCATGATGTATTTCGCATGAGTAGACTATTTTTGATATTTGAGTTTTAAAGGGGCATCGAGCAATGTTTCTCCAACACTGTCCGTGAATATTGTGGGCCACTAGAGCGGAATGCAGCAGGGCAGGGCAGGAGGCTCTGAGCCTGGACAGCACTTCTTTCTAGAAGTTCCACGTGCCTTTGTTCTGTTGGAACATTGGACAAGAACATCCAATCAGACCTCCTTTGTTCACATTTTAACCTGTTCCGACTTCATATTCAAAGAAGTTTCTTTCATGCACGTGTGAAAATCAAATTCTAGAAAGCAGCTGTTCACTCCCTCGAATCCAGACACTTAAACATCGCATCTAGGAGAGCCGCTTCCTCAGAAGAGCTGCTCAAAACTGAGGACTTCAGGGGTAAGAAAGTAGGGAGAACACAACACGAAATATCTTGGAAAAATCTTTTATTCTCCTTGCTAACATCTCTTTTGACATTCTATTAACTAAAGGTAAGTTACAATAAGAAATAATTTGGTTTCCTATTACTTTTGAAAAGCAGTAACAAAGTAGCTATTTAGGAAAAAGGAGGTCCCTTAGGTTTTTCAAAAAACATTAGAAGAAACATTACAAAAAATGAAGATCCCATTACATGGAAATACGTGATCAAAAGTCAGACTAACACACATTCAAACAGGCTCTATTCAAACTGGAGTTCTCATTTCTTTCAGAAGAACCTTTTCTCTTAGGCTATTCCAGAAGCACGTCACAATGAACAAAGAGGTCTCGCCAGCTCCTTCCTTTAGTGAGCACTGGGGGGTGATAACAGAAAGCTGGAACCGAAGCCTGAGGATATGGCTTGACGTCTGAGACCAATTATCTTTGAGTTTTTTCCAGCCGGGACAGAAGCTGAGCGAGGGTCAGGGCAAGCCCTGAAGGGAAAGGATGCAGGACAAAGCCTGTCATCCGCCTCACCACCCCAAGTTCCACAGTGATCCCCTGGCCCCGACTTCACAAGACTGGAAAGCTAAGTGAGGAAGACGCCTGTGTTGTTCATAATACCATGTTTTCACTTTGTCTTATTTTCCAAAGTGCAGCTCCTCAAGAATTTCATTTTTAAAAAATCATCTGTAAGGGAAGAAAAAAATAAATGCGTTTAATTCAATCACTGATTTTTAACATTCCCACGATAAGTGAATGACCACACATGGGGCCAGGTTTGCACACGCCGGAAGATCTTTGCAGTAGGACGGTGCCCCTCAGCAGGTGGCTGCCTCGAAGCTTTGATTTTAGGGACAGCAGTTAGGACTCCTGATTTCTCCTGGTGTCCTTCCCCTCACCGGTGGGCTCCCCACTGCCTGAAATAAATTCTGTGAGTGTCCTCTGCCTTCAGGATTTGTCCTCGGATACTGCAAAGGTGCTGGCCCCACGATGACTCTGGGGACACGCAAGTCTCACCAGATATTTATCAGTCCATGGAGCGAGCACCCTGCCCCGAGAGCACTTTTCATAGGGGCAAAAGGTACTCCTGAGTACTAGAAGACGGGTTTCCCTACAAACAATTCAAAATAAAATGTCTAATGATGACCATTAATCTGACACAAATGATAATCATATGCCAGATGCTTATCAGAAAGTACTACATATGTATAAATGTGAAGGATGCTACCATTTTCTGTGAGAAAGACCAGCGCATGGCTGGACGTGGTGGCTCACGCCTATAATCCCAGCACTTTGGGAGGCTGAGACAGGAGGATTGCTTGAGGCCAAGAGTTTGAAACCAGCCCGGGCAACAAATAGCAAGACCCCCATCTCTAAAAAAAAAATGAAAAAAAAATTAGCTGGGCGTGGTGGCCCACACGTGTAGTCCCAGCTACTTGGGAGGCCGAGGCAGGAGGATCGCTTGAGCCCAGGAGTTTGAGGCTGCAGACAACGGTGATCGCACCATTGCACTCCAGCCAGGGCAACAGAGTGAGACCCTGCCTCTAAGAAAATAAAATAAAAATAAACACACACCTCAGCACACACCCACCGCACCCCCTCTCCCCAAAACAACAACAACAAGAAACTTTAGCAAACTTTCGTCGCACAAGTGTCTCCACTCTTCTGCTCGCTTACTTTCAACTCAGGTTTCTGATCCTAGTCATGTACTTGTCTGGGTTGGCAGCACTCATCACCGTAGTATAAATTGTGAAGCTGAAAATAATGAGAGGCATTTTTATATACATGTCATTTTCCCTATTAGTCCAAAAAGGGGAAAAAAATACCAAGCACTTTCCCAACACTTGGGATCTAGGACAAGAACACAAATAGAGGCCCATTTATGCCAGAATATTTAAAATGTTTGAATTAAGAGGCCGAAGTGTTCTTTTCTCTTATTTTGACAGCACTGTGGAAGGTCGAGCTAGAATTTAATTCTCAGACTCCTCAGAGCTCCACGCTGTGGCAGGGAGGGAGAGCCCGCCCTTCGCCCTCACCCCTGGCTCTGTCCTCCCCGACGAGGGCCTCGCTTGCATGTGACACCTCAGCCTTCCCATGCCCCAGCAAGCAGCCACCCATTGGACCCCTCAGGACAGGGTGTCCCCAGGGGCTGCAGACCACAGGAGAACACCACCCAGGGAAGGGGACCACACGGGCCTCGGAAATGGGTTTGGGGCTGTTCTGGCCAAGAATTCCAGGGTCCTGGGTACTTGGGCCAGACTCTGGGTGGGCACATGTCCCTGGCCCAGCAGATTCCCTATACCAAGGGAGGGTCGCAGCTAGAGGAAGGCCAGAGTGGGGCCTCTACAGCTCAAGGATCAAGGCAGTGCCCACCCTTGCCCAGATCTAAGGATGAAAGGTGAGATGTCGTTGACTCCACACTCTGCGTAGCAGGAGACCTACACAACTTGAGCACGCGTGCACACACGCGTGAACACATGCTAGGGCCCATTTCCTGCGCTCCACTCTGCTGCCGCTTGTCTTGGAAACCAGCTGAGGTGCACACTCAAAGCATCTGGAGCTGGATTGTTCAGGAACAGGCTGAATTAGCGGCACTGGGCCCCACAGCCGATAGCACACCTGGCTGAAGACTGCACTGCTAGCAAGTGCAGAGCTCGTCAGGGTAACAGAGGCTCCCTGAACAGGACCTCAGCTGCTTGTTAACTTTAGTCACATTCTCCTCTCCATCACTGTTTTAATATTTTTTCTGTACTGGGTGCAGCGGCTCGTGCCAGTAATCCTAGCACTCTGGGAGGCCAAGGTGGGAGCATCGCTTGAGGTAAGTTCAAGACCAGCCTGAGCAAGAGCGAGACCCCGTCTCTACCAAAAAGTAGAAAAAATTAGCTGGACAACTAAAAATATACAGAAAAAAAAAATTAGCCGGG